CAACGGCAGCGCCGCGCACCCCGCCTGCCCCAACGCCAGCGCCGCCGGCCCCGGCCCCGGCCCCGGCCCCGCGCTGCAGCAGGTGAGCTTGCCCCCGCGGCTGCCAGCTCTGCTCTGCTCTTCCCCGCCCGCCCGGGACGTCTGTCCGTGCGGCACGGGTCGCTGGGATTCGTGCTGCCTGGTGTAAGGGTGGCCGCCCGGCCTGCCCTCTCCTCGGGCCGCGGGGAGGGGGGGGGCCTGCCCTAGGCTCGGGGTAGCAGCAGGGCTGGGTACCCAGGTGATGGTGCCTCGCTCTCTGTCGCAGGAGGTGGAGACCCTGGTCTCCCACTGGAACCTCTACCTCAACCTGGGAGGCTTCTTCGTGGGCCTTTTCTCCGTCACCCTCTTCGGGCCATGGAGCGACCGCGTGGGCCGGCGCCCGGCGCTCGTGCTGCCCGCGCTGGGCATGGCGCTGCAGGCGGCCTTCTACCTCCTCGTCATGTACCAGCAGCTGCACGTGGCCTACTTCCTGCTGGGCCGCATCCTGAGCGGCCTCCTGGGCGATTACAACCTGATCCTGGCCGTCTGCTTCGCCTACGTGGCGGACATCAGCGACAGGCGCTCGCGCACCTTCCGCGTGGCCGTGCTGGAGGCCTGCCTGGGTGTGGCGGGCATGCTGGCCAGCGTGGCCGGCGGGCAGTGGCTCCGGGCACAGGGCTACATCAACCCCTTCTGGATGGGGCTGGCCGTCAGCCTCGCCGCCGCGCTCTATGCTGCCCTGTGCCTGCCGGAGTCGGTGAGGCTGCGGCAGCCTGCCAAGCTGTTCACCCTCCGCCACTACCTGTCCGTGTACCAGCTGTATGCAGCCCCGGGGCGCCACAAAGCCCGACTGCAGCTTGTCCTCTACTCCCTGGCCTTCTTCCTCATCGTCACCATCCACTTCGGGACCCGGGGCATCTTTGTGCTGTATGAGCTCGGCTCCCCGCTGTGCTGGGGCCCCGATCTCATCGGCTACGGCTCGGCAGCCAGTTACCTGGCCTATCTGAGCAGCCTGGGCGGGCTGCGGGCGCTGCAGCTGTGCCTGGGAGACACCTGGGTAGCAGAGCTGGGCTTGCTGTCCAACATCCTGGGACTGGTGGTGATTTCCCTGGCCACGACGACGGCGCTGATGTTCACAGGTGATGCTGGAGCCCTGCCTCCCGGGATCGATCGTGAGGCCTAGTTTAGAGGTCCCTAGAGGAGGGAGAGGGCGGCATCCCTTGGGAGAGGCAGGCTGGCAGGGAAAGCAGCCCACGTGGCAGATCCACGGAGGTCACCCAGCCAGGAGTGAGGCCTGGCTCTGCTACAGCCCGGAAAAGCCATGCAGGTTGGGCCCTTGGGAGCCAAGGGGCTGTAAGGGGAGGCAGGCCTGGGGCATGTGGGGAGCTGGTGGGCAGCGATCTGGACTGCAGTCACCAGCTCTGGAAACCTGGATGTGCCTTGTTTCCTACCCTAGGTTACGGGATGCTGTTCCTTTCGATGGCAGCCACACCAGTGATCCGGGCAAAGCTGTCCAAGCTGGTGGATGAGAATGAGCAAGGTAAGGGGTGGCATGGTGGAGCCCACGGTAGGACCCGATACATCCAGACTGCTGATGCATGCTCAGGAGCCACCTTGGGAGTGTGCGCTTCAGTCTCGGCCTCTTCTGGCTGAAGGGGGTCAGGCCCTCCCAGTTCCCCCGGAGCCCTCTGCCCGCACCCACAGCCGTGTCCCTGGCTCTGAGCAGGGCTGCCCCTTTCTCGGCACTGCCAGCCAGTTCTCTTGGCGATGCCCCGTGCAGACGAAGCGGGAGTCAGTTGTGTTTGAGCATGGGGGATGGGTCACTGAGCTGCTTTCAAAGCCTTTCCCTGGGAACAAGCCTTAGATGGGTTAAAAATAAATCCTGCACACACAAGCAGTCCTGGCCCAGCTTTCACTTCAGTAAACCAGCAGCAATCGGAAGAAGCTCAGCATTACTAGGGAGATAAACCACAGTGTGCGGTGGGTCGTCCTCCTCGGTGTGACGCCGGGAAGGGCCAGGCCAGGCCTCTTCCTCCCCCACTTCACTCTGCAGAGCCTGCTGTCCTGCTCGCCTGCTGTCCGGCTGAAGGACGCGCGAGCTGGGGCTGCAGGGCATGGGGGGACATGAAACGGCAAGTCCCCAGACGCGTGGAAAGTGCTGGCTCCTCCAAGAGCTCTCCCGCGTCCTCTGCTAGGATGAAGCCAGTGTGAATGTGATAGTGAGCTTACGAAAGGCAGTATCTCTGCCATGTTGGTTGTGTAAGGAGTGATAACACATGCGGAGATTGCCTCTGCCTCAGGGAACTGACAGTCCCTTTGGTTGCGTGGCATCCTGGCTGTGCCCGGGCGAGTGCTGCTCAGATAGGACGGTGGCGTTTTCCTGCACATGGGCTGAACTTGGCCCATCATAAAAAACAAGGGTTGGAAGGGACCTTAGGAGTCATCTAGCGCAACCCCCTGCTCCAAGCAGGACCAGCCCCAACTATGTCATCCCAGTCAAGGCTTTGTCTAGTTGGGCCTTAAACACCTCCAAGGATAGAGACTCCACCACCTCTCTGGGTAACTTGTTCCAGCTTCACCACCCTCCTCGTGAGAGGTTTTTCCTAATATCCAACCTAAACCTCCCTTGCTGCAACTTGAGCAACAGTCATTTCAGGGCACTCGGTCTCCCTGGCAAACATCTACCCCCAGCCCCTGGCGCTTGTGCTGCGGCTTGAAACAGGCAGGGATATTTCAGTAGGGCCCTGGACATCCGGTGTGGAGGGAAGAGCCTCCGGCCCCAGGGGAGCCACGCTGCTGACCCCTGTCCGTGGTGTCTCTGCCAGGTGCTCTCTTTGCCTCTGTTGCCTGCGTGGAAGGACTCTGCTCCCTCGTGGCCACCGGCGTGTTCAACTCGCTGTACCCTGCCAACCTGCCCTTCATGAGAGGATTCCCCTTTCTCTTTGGGGCCATCATTCTCCTCATCCCAGCTGCCGTTATCGGGTAACGTGGCCCCCCGTGCTGTAACGCTGCACTCTCGTGGCCTCTGGAAACAGCACTGTGCTGCTTCTCCTGCCTTGTGCAGGGCAGTGACTTATGAGGGGTTGTTATAAGGCTTGCTCTGAAGGGCGATTGTAAGGGGAGGTTTAGCGCCCAGCGGGCTGACGTGCGGGTCTCTGTCCTGGGACCTGGATTGAAGGTTGGAGCCTGCAGTGGGTGTAGGTGCCGCAGGGCCCAGCTCCTGGTGCGTGGCCCAGAGCAGGACCCGGGGGAGGCACGTTGGCTGCTTCTGCAGACCAAGGGGAGAGTTGGGTGTCTCGGGGAGAGGTTGCAAAAACCTGCACTCTGGGCCAGGAGGTGCCTAGAGCCGGCTCCTCATACGGGGCCATGTGCAGACTCCCAGCCCCCTCTCTAGCAGAAGAGCCTGGGTTTGAGCTGCAGGGCAGCACCTCTGTGAGCTCCAGCCAGGAACCAGGAGGCCTCTCCGAGGGCAGGCGCCTCCAATGCTTGCCCTTTCCTGCATGCCCCCTGGGGAAGCTCTAAGCCTGTTGGTTCTCTCGTAGGTGGATAGAAATCTGGGCCTCGGAGCCCGAATACGGTCACTTCACGGATGCTGCCTCGTCCCCGACGGAAAGTGAGGCAGTGACACCCCGCACGGAAATAGTGGATGCTGCCGAATGAGCCAGTCGGCAGCAGCTCTGGACTCTGTTAGGAAGACTTCACAGGCTGCAACTCACGGGTGTCCTTGGAGATGGGCAGTGCCACGCAGCTCGAAGGAGTAAGAACTGAGGTCTGCGGGTGGGGATGCCTCCGTGCTGTCCTGTTCCCCCAGTCTGTCGGGGAAGATGCCGGGGGTTTTAAACATGGAGGAGGGATAGGGACTAGCACCACTTGTTCACAGGGGCCACAGGAGGAGTCATTACCTGGCCATTCTTGGGGGGAAATGAGGCGGGGGAGCTCAGGCTGAAGCTACAGACCAGAGCCCAGCAGTGCATCTGTGCTGGGTAGCAGATGATCGATCCCTTCGCGTGAGTGCGACCCACACCACTGTCACTCCTCACACAAGGCAAAACTGGCTCTGAAGAGGACAGCTGTGGAGAGCAGCGGGTGGGCTGCAGAGGGAGGCAGCTGCCCGCACCTGACTAGCAGAAGCCGTCTGGGTGGGCCTTTGCAGGGAAGTGTTCGCCTTCCCCACTGGGAGGAGAGTCCCATGGGAGTGCTCTCAGCTGCCAAACTGGTGTTAGCCTCAGGGGAGCATGTCCCTGGGAGAAAAGGATCCCTTGTGTGAAGTGCCAGGGCAAGCAGCCCCGGGTCCTGCTCCCTTGCAGCCCAGGGATTCAGAGCTGTTAATAAAATCTTGTTGACTCCTTGTCACATCCATCACTTGCACAGTAATAAATTAGCAGGGCTGATTAAAGACAAACCAACCCTTATGCAAGGCCCCAGGCACATGCTGTACTGTCTGCTAAGCAGTTTACCTGTGAGGACAAGGGTTCTCCAGGGGGGAAATAACCCCTGGTTCTGTTTTATAGCCAATAAAGGGTGGCCTTGGCAGCAGTTATTTCAGATCATTTTCTTTCTTGCTTATCTCTCCATCATGCTCTTGCTTCCCTCTTGGCTCGGTGACACTGGGACAAAGGAGAGGAACAGCAGCTGGCACTGATCCGTGCCTGTCTGCCAGGCCCCTGCGAGAGTCCGGAGCTGTGGGACTCTGGGTGACCTCAGAGGCCTCCATGGGCTTGTCTCCGACTCCTGGAGGGGAGCTCGCAGCAGCTGCAGCTCTGCAGTCTGCCCATGGGTCATGCCTAGTGCTTGCTGCACCGGGGTAGCTGCCCATCCTGTCAATGGGGACCATTGCTGCTAGCACGGAAAGGGGGATGCAGGGCGAGAGCCAGCTCTGATTCCCCCAGTCTGGCTAGCCCAGCACATGGACAAAGGGGTGGTGGGGAGATTTAACCCTTTGTGTGAGATCTCTACTCGGCCACTGCATGCTAGTGACTCGGGGGGCTGCATTGTCCCCTCCCCTGGCCCAGCCCTGCCCCCTGGCACCGTTGGGGTGGCTTAGTCCCTGGCACCCGGTGTGTGGGCAGGGGAAACATGAAGTCCTGTTGACGGAAGAACAGCTCCTTCCATGCAAACAGTTTGTCTGGGCTCTTTTCCCAGATTGACAGGTATGCAGCCTGGTGCTGAGTGGCTGCTACAGGTGCCTCAGGTAGAGCGAGCCTGGGAAGAGACGAAGCATGAGATCTTTGGGCTGCCTGGGCTGGCAAAAGTGCCCTCCTGTCTGAATACTGTGCCGGCTGGAAGCCAGGGGCAGTCATGGCTGTAGCTTCCCCCGGGACTGCGCATCAGGTGTGTGGGGGGAGGAAGGGGCTAAGTCCCCCTGCCCATCCCTGCTGCTTCCACGGCGCACCCTGGGCAGAGCCACCTTTGCTGGGTATTGCACAGAGGCATCCCACTCATCTCCACGCTGCCCTCCTGCCGCCCAGCCGGGGACGTGCGGCGCGTGTGCTCCCTCCTGTCTCTCTCTCTCCCAAGGGGAGCTGAGCTGTCTGTGGTCATTTCCCCCAGCTCATTGTGCTGCTCTGGGGAAGACCAGGCAGGTCAGAGGCACGTGTGCTCCGAGCAAACCCCAGGGAAGCTGGGCAGAGTGAGGTTTGTCGTGGCCCTTAGCCCCTGGGACCAGCACAGCAGAGCTTTCCCTTCATGGCTGGGGGGTGATTGCAGGTATCCTGCTGGAGCTGGGCTCTGCCAAGCCCCCAGACAACTGGTTGGGGCCACAAGAGTTCCTGCGCTCAGCTCCTTGGGGTTTCCTCCATGCCAAGGACACCTCTTGCTCTCTGAGCCCCGGGGCACAGGGTATGGACAGCAAGCTCTGCCCCAGCAATGGGGCACCAACTTCTGCAGGCTGGAGGGGACCCAAGATGCTGCTGGAGCGGGACCCTCATTCCCGCTCAAAGCACCATGAGCCAGGCTCACTGGACCTGTCGGGGGCCAAAGGCCAGGCATGCAGGTGCCAGGTGAGTGCAGGCGCTGCAATATTATGCTGCCAATGAGCAGCGGGAGCAAGAGTGAGACCCCAGCATGGTCCAGCTCCTCGGGTTGTGCAGCGGGGCCCAGGGCACAACGTAGAAGCACGCATCATCCTGCCCCACGCTGGGCTCCCCGCCTGCCCCTGGCACCCAGCATGTGAGCGGAGAAGGGCACCGGTGTGGCTAGCGCAGCGACATCACCTGACCTTTAAAAAACACAAGAGGCATTTGGCAAAGGCCCCTGGGAAAGGTTCTACCTGATCTGGAACAAGATGCTACAGGGGACTGGTGGGGTAAAGGCACGATGGGGAGATACTGCTTATCCCGCGTGCAAGGCCACGAGGAGGTAGGAGGGAGCCCGCGGCAGGGGCGGGGGTTCTGCTGGGGGACCGGCTGCGCCATGCCTGCCGCTCGCCTCCCGTTGGCACTTGCGGCGCTGCTCAGCTGCCGGCTGCAGCGACGTTCCCCCATGCCTGGCAGGGGCGCTGGCACGGGGCTGCAGGAGCTGGGGAGCTGGAGCTGTGGGGTGATGGAGGCTGCTGGCAGTGGTCTGTAGGCACAGCATAGAGATTCCTCCCTGCGGCTTCGCCCCAGTCCCTTCCTTCATGGGCACCTGTCTTGGCCCTGCAGCCTCGGCTGGGCAGTGCCTGCACCCTCCAGAGTGGGATGCCCAGGGGCGTGGGTCAGCGCCGAGGAAGGCAGGGAGCAGACTGCCCTGTCCTGGGACAGCAGCTGGGCCACTGGCAGTCTAGGCTGGCTCCGTTTGTACCAGGTGGGGAACGCAGGGGCTGGTTTTGCAGAGCCAGGGGTTGGCCCCAGAGCCAGGGTGGGGCTGCCCCCAGGCAAGTGCCTGTTCTCTGAAGAGCGGGGCGCGCTGTGCAGCGCTGGAGAAAAGGAGGTCTAGAGGGAAGATCTGGCCCCGCAGCCGGGGCTCCTCCAGGAAACTGGTGGTGGTGGCTCGGGCAGCGCTAGGTCTGCGCCAGGGGTGGCACGCACTCCAGGCTGTTCTCGGAGCCGGCGGAGGAGTCCTGGGATGAGCGGCCCTGGAGGAAGCGGATGATCTTCTCGATCGTGGCGTCCTGGTACTCGTGGGACCACCTGTGTTTGGGGGAAAGCGGACTCAGCTGTGCTGTCTGGAGAGCATGGGAGATGCCCCCGGGGAGCTCAACGTGGGGCCGCGAGAGCCAAGGGGACACCCCCTCTCCATTCCTGCCTGGAGGCCCAGCCTGGCAGGGAGCAGAGCTTGGAGAACAGCTTGCAGGGAGCTGGCTAGGGGCAAGGCGAGGGCTGGAGGAGAGCAGGGGCCTTAGGCCCATCCACCGATTCCCCAGAGCCTGACATGACAAGAAGAGGCAACCATTTTGGGGGGACCAGGAGAGGTGTGCGGGGTCCAGACGGGCTGTGTGCACCAGGGAAGCAGGCAGCTGTGCCCCCCAGGCCTCATGTCCAGCCCTGAGGCTCCCACTAGCCTCCGTGCCCAGTTTCGGCTCACGTTTCCCCCCCGCCCTGGCTCACTTGATGCCATTGAATTTGAGGACAGCCCTCATGTCCTCAGGGAGTGTCTGTGGGTCAGGCCACTCAAAGTGGTCGGTCACGGGGACGATGTTCTTCCCACAGTTCAGCGCTGTCACGATCTCCTGCGGAAGGGAAGGGAAGGGAGGCACAGAGCTCAGCCCATGGTGCCACTGCCTCCTGCGCTCTACTCCCACGGTGCCACCCAGGGAAAGGGCCGTGGCAGCACCCACCTCACCTTGTGCACCCAGTCCTTGCACTCGGGGTCTGCCATGCACTTGTCCAGCGAGCCCGGGGAGAGCACCAGCACAAAGTTGCGGGCGCTCATCACGCTCTGGATCAGCTTGTCTTCGAACTTCCCAGCCTCCAGCTTCTCCACGTCGATGAATGCACTGAAGCCGTGCAGCTGCAGGTGGACCTTCAGCAGGCTGGAGTGAGGGAGACAGGGTATCACCAGGGTACCCTTCAGGCTCCTGTTCTCCAACCCTGCTCCAGCCACGTCAGCTGGAGGCACCGGGAGATGGAAGAGCAGGCAGCGGCTCCCACAAGCCAGGTGCAGCCTTTGAGAGCTCAGCCACTGTCCCAGCCCCTTGCAGCAGAGCAGGATGTGGGCACCCAGGGCTGGCACTGAACAGGGGGGTAGGAGTGGGCCTTGCACCCAGCCCTGTGCAAGGGGAAGGAGAAGGGACCCACCAGCATTCAGGGAGGCAGAATGGGGCTGAATCCCCCTCGCTGCCCCCTCCAGATGCTGCTCCTTCCCCGTGTCCATGGAGGATGCCTGGGCAGTGTGGGCCACTCACCTGGGCTCAGCACTCACCCACCTGGCTAGCTGCGACCCTGTGCTGCGCCGGTAGCTGATAAAGACGTCAGGCCCATTGGAGGTGGGTTTGCAGCCACTGCAGGGCAGGGGGGAGTGAAGCATTTCTAGATGCAAGAGGAAACATCAGCAGAGAGTGAATAGTGACCCCCCAAATGGCCATGCCTCCTGTGTGCCCCCCCGGGCAGGCCCGTACCCCTGGCGGCACAAAGGATGCGGACGCGGTGGAAGCCCAGGTCGATGTGGCAGTCCTCCTGCAGCTGCTGCTCGGTCACGCGGTGCAGGAAGTTGCGGTCGATGCCGCAGGTCACCAGGTTGTACGTGTACTGGCGGAACTTGGGGTCCACATTGCCCAGCCAGTCGGCCAGGTTGCTGCGGTCGCAGGTGCAGTAGTTCGCATATGTCTTCAGCTCCACAAGCTCCCGGAAAAACCTGGCAAGACAACAGAGGAGGGCAGTGCCCGAGGCCCTGCGTCAGGCGGGCACCAGTAGCTCCTGGGTGGACACGGCTCATATTTGGACAGAGAAAAGGGTGCCCAGGTGCCTGGAGAAGACGAAGGTGGACAGAGGGATGTGCAGGCAGCTGGCTGCCTGTGGCAGCACCAAGGGGCAGAGGATGCCGTGCAGAAGCAGAAACCTGGGTGAATCTGCAGCTTTTTATGCACCGGGCCCCCAACCTGTTCCTCCGCATGCCAAGATCCTCCTCTCAGCCCCATCACCCCTTCCCTTGAGTGCTGTCTTCCCTCCGGCCCCTGGAACCAGCATCCCCCTGGAAAGCAGAGTCTGTCCTGGCAGGGACCCTTCCCAGGAGGGGGACACTGGGAGGGCCAGGGCTCCTCTCCCAGCCTAGGCTCCCAGCTGTCTGCTTCGCAGAGGAGAGTCCGAGGCCTCTGCCTGGACTCTGGACACGTGGTCACTGCAACACGAGCTGCCTGAGCCCTGGGCTCCTACCTCTTGCGGGTGATGCTGGAAACCATCCCCAGGTCCTCTTGCAGGTCCATCTCTGTCAGCTTAAGCAGCAGGTCCCCGTCCACCTGGTGATCCTGCCGAGAGAGGAGGGGGCTCAGCGCCATCCCTGGGGCCTGTTGTGGGGTGCATGTGGGGCAGGCAGTGCATGGAGGGGAGCGGGCACCGGGAATTGTCTTTACCATCCAGAGAGGAGGAAGCCCTCAAACCCATGCCAGCCCCTTCAGGCTCCTCTGCTCCTGGGGGCACGGATGGGACGGCTGGACAATTCCAGGGGTTCTCGGTGAGATACAGCCCACACCCCAGATGCCTGAGCAGGGCTATAGGGCGTGTGGCCAAGGGCGGCTACCTCTCCTAGACCATCCCTGCCATCTGGCTGAGGTCAGGCATAGCTGTCGCTCTGGGTGGCGTGACTGCAGATTATAAACTGGTGCAAGTCAGACCGTGTATGCACGTGTGTGTGTACGCGTGTGTGTGCATGTCCCCCGTGGACTGCACCCTACCAGGAAGCGCTGGCAGTACTGGTTGAAGCCGATCTGCTGCAGCCAGGTCTGCACCTCGAGGGGCTTCCAGCTGGGGACGAGGGGCAGGATCCGGCGCGGCACCTCCTCGCCCATGGTGCGCAGCGCCTTCTTGGCCAGTGCCGAGACAGTGCCACCAGTTGAGTAGCACACGAGCCGCTTCAGGCTCTGGGTAGCCCCAATCTCGTTGAAAATCTGGGGGCAGCCAAAGGGGAGGGTCACAGCCGTGCTCACCCCCAGCCCGCACCCCCGGATTGCTCCGTGCACCCCACACTCACGACAGAGCGGGGAGCCCCTGCTCTTACAGAGGCCGCCCCACTGCCATGCTCTACCTGGGTCGTCTTCTGCCGGGTCTTGATGGCGGCCTCGGTGCAGAGGTAGAAGGCGGCGATGCACTGGGCTTCCAGCCGCGAGCTGTCCAGCAGCGGCACCAGGCGTTGCAGGTCGTTGGCCGTACGGCCCTGGCTGTTGTCGCTGCTGCCCAGCAGGTTGTGGGCAAACTGCTCGGGGTCCAGGGAGGCGATGAAGGGCTCCACCAGCGCCAGGGTGCCCGAGCTCTCCACCTCCCGCTCGATCTCTTTGTTGGTGGCCAGCACAGCGATGGCCAGGCAGGCGTGCAGGCGCACCAGCTCATCTGCCTTGGAGAAGGCCAGTGGGAAGAGCCACTCGGCCGCCTTCCTCTCCACCATGAGCCGCTGGTTGGCCTGCCCGCCGTACATGGCGCAGTTGGCCAGGGCCATGGCGCAGTGGCGCAGCACGACCAAATCAGTCCCACGGCACCAGTACAGGATGGCGTCCAGGCCGCCATCTGAGATCAGCTGGCCGCACGTGTCCTCGGTGTGTTTGAACATGTGCTCCAGGATGCCCGAGATGCTGCGGGCCAGTTGTGGGCTGTCTCGCTCCTTGGCCAGGTTCAGGATCACACCCAGGCCAATCCGGGCAATCCGGTCCCTGGCAGGGGGAGACGCGGCACATTGCAGTGGGTCAAAACCGGGCGAAGGCACAGTTTTTTTGCTACCAGGGCCTCCTGGCTCATCTGGCATCAGGAAGCTGGTGCTGGCCCCATGGGCCACGCGCCTGCCCCCGTGGCCTGGCTGCCAACAGCAGGAGAAAGGGCTGGAGAGAGGCCATGGAGAGTTCCCCATAGCCCAGGACACAGACACGCAGGAGAGATGAGGTCTGCGGTGAGTGCCCCCCAGGAGCCAGGCCACACAGACAGGGAAAAGGGGGTCTCAGCCTTGCTGCTGCTGCATTTCATGAGTAAGAAGCTCCTGCCTGAGCCCGTTTCCCTGCCGCGTTGTCTCTGGGTTGCGGTGGGAGCCCGCTGCCCAGGGAGTGGGTTTCGGTGCAGGGGCCTGGGGCGGTGGAGGTGCTGGCTCAGGGACTGGCATGGCTGGACTGCAGGCTCCTGTGCCCAAGCCCAGCCCAGAGCCAGGGCCCTTACAGACACACAGGGCTGGAGGCTAGGGACTGGGTCTGCCCAGGGTGCAAGCTGGGCTAGGCATCCCCCTGCCCCGCAGTGCAGGGAAGGGTCTCTCACCAGTGCTCAAGGGAGATGCTGGAAATAGCACTTACGGGACGCGGGCCAGGCCAGGAGACTGGCAGCTCCTGGAGCCAGCAGACGCCTGCCCTGTCGCACAGACGCACGCCAGGCCCGCTTTCCTGGCAGGGCCCTTCTGGGAAGCTCTGTGCAGCTGACGCTGGCCTTGAGCTCAGCCTGGCAGCGAAAAGCAGGGACGGCTCTGGACAGCCGATGCCCCCGGGGCCCGCCTGTAAGTGCCCCCCCACACCTGCCTGGGGACTCCCTGGGGGTCTGCAGCCCATTTGGGGACGGGGTGTGAGACATGTCCTGCTCCCTGTTCCTGCCCCTGCCTCTCAGGCCCTAGCACCAGCAGAGTCCCTCTTCGGGTGGGCAGTGCCAGGGAAACAGGAGGTGGGCTGAGGGAGCTGAGCATGGCTGGAGCTAACCCATGAGCCTGCATCCAGGGTCCTTTGCAGAGCATCCAAGCCCTGCCCCCGGATCATGCAGGACCTGGGCAGACAGCCGCGGATGTGGTGCAGCCAGGGGCAGGGAGCTGGCCTCAGCCACGTTTCAGGGCAGGCCGGGGAGGCTGGGGCGTCACAGGGCAGGACCCATTCGGGAGCTCCGGGCATGGGAAGGGCCATGTCCACATGGAGCCTTCTGGGCCAGAGCCATCCTCCCAGGACAGGGCGAGAGCACGGCCCCAGCCTCAGGGCTGCTGGCAGGCATGGTGCCGGGGGTGCTGGGGTCACCGTCTGGGGAGGCAGGTGCCAACGGAGCTGACATTGCAGCTGCCACTCTGAGCACATTGGTCTCTGCATGGGACAAGCTCCTGCCTGCCTCCTGGCGCCACGGCTCAGCAAGGTCTGCCAGCCGGCAGAGTAACGGTGCAGGAACCAAAGCCTTCCCAAAGCCCAGGTCTCCTTTTGGTGGACTGTCTCCCCAACTTGGCCCCCGGCCCAGGAAGTCGTGTGAGCTCGGTGCAAGGCACTAGGGGCCTGCAGCCCTCTGTCTCGTTGAGCATGCCCTGAGCTGCCCAGCCGGCTCTTCCCAGCAGCAGGGATCTGCCCGGGCTTGGCCTCCTCCCTGCTTGGACAGGCTCAGCTGCGCCGTGCACGGCTGCTGGACGTGGTGGTGGCAGCTCCGCGCCCTGACTCAGGGGTTGGGGCCCGGGAGGTGGAAGTGCTCCCGGCTGGCCAGCAAGGCTCTCGGGCGCCCTCTCCTGTGCAGCGGCCGCTGCTGGAGTCAGGGCTTGGTGCTTGGCTCTGCTAGGATGAGGCCCGGACCAGGGAGCCAGGGCACAGAGGATGCCCTGGCACTGTGCACTGCACAGCACCCTGCGGAGTGCACTGTGCAATGAGTCTGGGGGGTCCCCAGCACCCTGCTGAGGCCTGGACACTGGTCAGCATGTGGCACAGGCCAAAACACGAGGCAGGATGTTCCCTCGGGCACCATCGGGCTTGGCCACCCTGGGCCACCGACTGCCCAGCCCCTGCCCCTCTCCCTGCCCGTCACCCGCTCACCTGTTCTCCGCCACCAGGATCTGCTCCAGGAGCTTCCCCGCGTGGCACTTGGTCTCCAGCTCGGCTGTGTGGAGCAGGCTCAGCAGCAGGTCCAGGCCCCCCTCCAGACGGATCACGTCGCACAGCGCCTTGGCCACATCCCTGCCCACCGTGGGTATCACCCAGGCCTCCTCCACCAGCTGGAAGATGGTGGCGATGGCCCCTCGCAGCTCCACGGGGCCGGCTGCTTGCTTCAGGGAGGAGATGGCCAAGTGCAGCTCTGGCAGGATGCGGTCCAGAGCTGCCCGGACATCTGTGCTCACCCCGGGGGACACCTCCCGGGCGCCCCCCAGCCTGGCCCACCAGCCTGCCGGGCTCGCATCCTGAGGCACGCACAGCCGCTCCGAGGAGGACATGGCAAAGAACCGGCACAGTTTATAGGCAGAGACGAGGAGGGTGAGAACCATGGGCATCCCCTACAGCAGCATCTCTGGTCCGCCCCGCCGGCAGGCCTGTGCCGGGGCACGGCCCCTTCCGGGAGCACGGGCACAGGCTGGCCAGGGCTGCTCTGCCTTTGTCCCGGCCCTTGGCCCCTTGCAGCGGAGGAGGGAGGGAGGGAGCAGGCAGGGATGGAGCAGGGGCAGGAGGCAGCTGGGACGAAGGGCGGTGCCAGCTCCTCTTCTCCGAGCTCCCAGCACCCCCCTGCTTCCGCCCGCCCCGCTCCCCCGCCTCCCCTGGGGGTGATGTCACCTCCACAGGCCCCGCCCCTCCAAGGAGGACCTGTCACCATGGCAACAACATCCTAAGAGGAGGAGGAGGAGCAGGCAGATGATGCTCTGACAATGCTGGGAGCCTGTGCCGCCCTCAGCCCCCAGCTCTGGCCTGTCCCGTGCCCCACCCCATGGCCTCGGGTGCTCCTGTCGCCACCTGTCCCCAGCCCCCCTGACCCAGCCCCTGGGAGCTGGGAGCCCCCCTCAGGCCCCCAGAGGAAGCTGGACAGCCTGGGAGGCGGGTGTGCACGGTGCCATGGGTGCTGGGGGGCCAAGGCCTCGGTGCAAGGATGCAGCCCGGGCCTCGGGCACGCGGGCAGGCCAAGCCCAAGTGAACTCCAGATCCTCGCACTCCCTGTCCTGTGATGAAACAACCGCGGCCGGTTATCGGGAGCTGGGCGAAGGTGCTGGGGTCACGTTAACCAGTAACCGGAGCGGGGCAGGCTGGGAGCAAGATACACAGCGCTTTGTTTGGCTGCTGCACTGCGGGGAGCAGTGAAAGTGCCCTGCGGCTGAGCCCCGCTCTGCCTGGCTGGGACCCGATGGCACCTCCACCCCGCTGGGGCACCCTGCTGACCCTTGCAATGGGCAGCAGCCGCACATGGCTCCCAAACCAGCGTGGTGTGGTGGTGGTGGTTGGGGGGTGTCTCATCACCAGTTTCAAGCCTTCATAAGTCCCAAGATGAGTCCCAAACTCCTGGGGTGTGAGCGACGTCACTGCTGGGCTCTGCCCACCCCTGCCCTGCCAGTCTTGGGGCCTTTCGGGGTTGCCTCCAGATCGTGTCTGCAAAGCTCAGGGCCAGGGCTGAGAGGGCAGCTGTTGCTGTCCCTGTGCAGGGCTCCTGAGACAGGGTTCAAGTTGCTGGGGCATGGAGGGGCCGTGCCGCTCTGGCTCGGGGCTGCCCCCGGGGTGGGGAGGCTTTGTGCCTGCACCACATGAGGTCTGTTCGCAGCTGCCCCCAGGGGGTCCTGCAGGCCCCAGAGCCTGGAGCTCCCTGCACAAGGCCGAGGGGCCGGGTGGGGAGCTGCAGTGGCCACGCTGACCTCTCTGTGTTTGCCTTCTCCAGGCTAAGCAAACAGGGGGTGGTGCAGCAGGGGGTGGCTCCCCTACCGCACCAGCCTGCCCGAGCCGCCCGGGTCAGAGGCAGTGCTCCCAGACCCTCGTGTGCCATGGGGCTGCTGCTCCCAGCTGTGCTGCTGGGCCTGTTCGGCGTGGCACTCGCCGCCGAAGGTGGGTTTTGCTCTCCTCCAACCGGGCCAGCTGAAAGCACTGCCTGGTCCCAGCGGGCAGCCAGGACTGGGGCCAGAGCCCATGGACTTGGGGACCTGGGACAGTGGGATACTGCAGTGGGCAAGGGAGGGCAGCCCCGGGCTGGGGGACATGTCGGCAGGGTCATCACCGGTGTGGCGGGGCACTGGTGGGGACCCCACTGTGTTGTGGGGTCATTCGTGGGCAGGGCCTGCCGCAGCCACGCCCCCGGGGTGGGTGAGGGTGGAGGGGCACAGAGGGCTCCAGCGGCCCCGCAGACAGCACCAGCCACGTCAGTCCTGCTACCGGGTCTCTTCTGGTGCAGAGTCGTGCGCGGGCCGCTGCGACGTTGCCTTCAACTCCAGTATGAAATGCCAGTGCGACCCGCTGTGCGTGTACTACCAGAGCTGCTGCAGTGACTACAACAGCGTCTGCAAAACCAAAGGTACCTGCTGCCACCCCATGCCCCGGGAGCTCCTGTGTGGGCAGGGCCTTGTCCTCCCTTGTGCCATGCAGGAGGCGGCGGGTTTGGCTGGAGACCCAGGAGCGTCAGCTCATGCTGTGGGCACCAGTCCAGCTGCTCTGGTGCCCGTGGACCAAGCTCCTGGAGTCCCTGGGACATCTGCAGCAAGGGTCCATGTGTGCTTCCCTCAGTGACCCGCGGGGACGTGTTCGCCTTCCCGGAGGATGACTACAGCTACTTCTACGGCAACAAAGGCGACCCCTTCGACCAGGGCACAGGGAGCCCCGATGTGGCCACGACCTTCCCTGCCCCGAGCACGAGCGAGATGTGGACTGAAGAGCCTACGCAGCAGTGGGAGCTGAGCACCGATCCGAGCGTGACCACCGAGGCGCTGCCGGCTACGGTGGAGGACTGGAACCAGGACGAGGAGCAGGAGGAGGCATGCAGTGGGAAGACCTTTGACGCATTCACCGACCTCAAGAATGGCTCCATCTTTGCCTTCCGAGGTGCGGGGTTGGCATGGGTGCTGGGCGTGGTGGGCAGCGTGCCCTTCGTCTGGGGGCTTTCCATTGCAGGGGGTGGGCATGGGGGTACCAAGGGGATGGGGGTCCACATCGGTGGCAGTGCCATTGCAGCTAGGCCCTGCCGCGAGCCTGCATGGACAGACCGTAGAGCACCCGCTAGCCCAGGCATGGGGATGGACAGCCCCTGGGCAGACCTGAGATGTGTGCACGGGGGGCTCCCATGCAGGGCAGCCAGGTCCTGCCCCAGGTAGCGGGTAGGGAGGTGGCTTGGAGGGAGCAGAGACTCTCTGTAGAGGCAGATGCACCCCCCAGGAGCACAGGACTCCCAGGAGGAGCTCCCCCACAGCCCCTGTCCCCTTCTCCTCCCAGGGAAATACTTCTATGAGCTGAATGAGACCAGTGTGATGCCCGGATACCCCAAGTTGATCCGGGATGTCTGGGGGATGGACGGGCCCATTGACGCCGCCTTCACCCGCATCAACTGCCAGGGAAAGACCTACATCTTCAAGGTGGGCAGTGGGCAGGGGCCAGGGCTTTGGTGCCTACTCAGGAGGGGTGTGGGTGAGTCCATCTGGGGCTGCGCAGAGAGGGCAAGGCTCAGTGACCCCAGGGGCCAACCTAGACGTGTGGCAGCGTCCTGCCCCTGGCTGAGCCCACTGTGCCCCCCCAGGGCAGTCAGTACTGGCGCTTTGATGACGGTGCCCTGGACCCCGGCTACCCGCTCAACATCTCAGAAGGCTTCGAGGGCATCCCTGATGACCTGGACGCGGCCTTCGCTCTCCCCGCGGAGAACTACGCCGACAATGAACGTGTCTACTTCTTCAAAGGTGCGTGAGACGCCACCGCCCCCCGGCCCAGCCCCTTCCTCCTCGGCCTGGTGCTGCCCGGCCTGAGGCACCGCGTGTGGTCTCTCGCTCCCAGGCAGGCATTACTGGTCCTACGAATTCGCCCAGCAGCCGACCTGGGAGGAGTGCGAGGAGCAGGACTCCCAGTCGGCCGCGTTTTGGCACTTCGCCTTCCTGGTGGGCACCGACTGGGACGATATCTTCGACATGCCCTTCGGCCTCAGCAGCAGTAAGTGCAGGGGGGCCTGGGGCGGGGAGGCCTGGGAGTGTGAGCTGAGCCCCTGTCTGCATCCAGGGCCAGGACCCTGGCCGTGCACTGGGAGGAGTGCGAGGAGCAGGACTCCCAGTCGGCCGCGTTTTGGCACTTCGCCTTCCTGGTGGGCACCGACTGGGACGATATCTTCGACATGCCCTTCGGCCTCAGCAGCAGTAAGTGCAGGGGGGCCTGGGGCGGGGAGGCCTGGGAGTGTGAGCTGAGCCCCTGTCTGCATCCAGGGCCAGGACCCTGGCCGTGCAGGGAGCAGGAGCAGGTGCTGGGGTGGGGTGGGG